AACTGGAGTTACAGGCAGTTGTGAGCCACCATGTGGATGCTGGGGACTGAACCCCCGTCCTCTGCAAGAGTAGCCAGTGCACTTAACCACTGAGCCATCTCTCCAGCCCCCTGGAGATTATTTTGGTGTTGTTTTGTTTTATTAGGCTTTTGCTGTTGTTTGTTTTTGATACAGGTTCTATGTGGCCCTGGCTAACCTGGAACTATGTAGAGCAGGCTAGCCTCAAACTCACGGAGCTCTGCCTGCCTCTAGCTCCCAAGTGCTGGGACTAAAGTCTTACGCCACCACACCCAGCTGAAACTAATCTTTTCTAATCAGAGGAATCTAGTATTTAATTCGAGTCTCTTCTGCTTTGGCACAAACCCCACTGCTGTTAACAAGATAGTTACAAACATTTAACTGTCCTTTAATACTTTCAATGGATTCTAAAAAGGAACTGTTACTTCCTTACTCACTTTTGTTATAAAATCTTGGTTCGTCCATGCCCCACTGACCAGAGATCGCCAACCACAGTAAGACCATCAATGACTCAGGAGCTGGAGGAGGCCTGGACTTGGAACCAGCACAAAAACTAAGCATTCACACTCCATCAACCTCGCCATCTGGGGCATGAGGTGCTGACTGCACCTGTAATCAACTCTCAGGCACAGTACCCAGCACACAGTCAACACTCCAAGAGAGCGGGATTCTTGTCTGTTAGTTTGTTTGGGTTTTTCTGATTCTAAAGTTGGAACAGGATAAAAATCTGTAAAACCAAGAGGATTTTATACAAAACTTACTACATGTAAGAAATGAAAGGACAAGACAGATAGAAACATACAAATGTCCTTATAAGGAAAAGATGGACATTTTCTTTTTGTAATGGTGGGATTAGGGCCCTTTGAGTGACAATAGGACCGAGCTGTATGTGGCATGGTTCGGTCTCAGAAGTCTCCTTTTTGATTACTGGCTTTGACTTCTCTAGCCTGGTCTCTTTTTTTCTGAGCGTAAGAACTTTAAGGTAGGGGTTGGAGAGATAGTTCAGTGGTTACGAGCACTGGCTGTTCTCCCAGAGGACCTGGGTTCGATTCCCAGCACCCCCAAGGAAGTTAACAACCACCCATACTCCAGTTCTGGCCTCTGCAGGAATTGCATGCATGTGGTGCTCTTATTTACATGCAGGCAAAACGCTGATAAGATAAAAATAATTAATTCTTAAACAAGAACTTAAAGGTTAAAAAGAAAAATATTTGGTCTCTTTTTGAGACTGGAAAAAAAAAAGACAGTGTGTAGTAAGACACCGACTGTAAAACAGCCCATCAGCATGTTCCTTTGATGGAAGAGAAAGAATAAATTATCCCACAACAGTTAACCAAAGGAGATCTGAGAAAACAGCACTACAATACCAACTGAACAGGAATTAATAAACATCGGTCAATAATAAGTCTCAATGTTAATGGCCTCAACTCCCCAGCAAAAAAGACACAGAGTAACTGATTGGATTAGAAAACTTGATGCGTAGATTTGCTGCCTCCAGGAAACACATCTCGCCATCAAGGACCGCCACCCCTAGGTAAAGGATGGAAAAAGGCATGAAGGAAATGGGAGTGAGGAAAGAAGGTGTAGCGATTCTGACATGTGACAAAATAGATCTCAGAGTAAAACTAGTCGGGAGAAACAGGGAAGGTCACTTTACACTCTTTAAAGGAAAAATACACCAAGAAGAAACTGCAATCCTAAACATCTACCACCCCACAAGGGCACCCAACTTCATAAAGAAACTGTTAGATCTAAAATCACACGCTGACTCCAACAAATTGATAGTGGGTGACTTCAAGGAGGATTCAAAGGGTGGGTGAACTCCAAGTACTACTCCAGGCAAAAGAAGGCAATATACAAATCTAGCTCCTCGGAGGATGTTTGGAGGACTAATGGGTGTGGTAATCCAGCTAGAGGAGGGGAAACTGAGACACAGAAGACAGGCCTAGGAAAATGGATGACAGGGTTAGAAGCCCGGGACAGAAAGTGCGGACTATCAACTCCCGACTTGGGTTTGGATTTTCTCTCATAGGTGACAGGAGAAACTACATTAAAAAGGAAATCAGTCTAAAAGAAATGAGGACCAACAGTGCACGAGGGCTTGGAGCCAGCTGCAGCCCCTGAGCTCAGCCTGCATTAGGGTTGTGTTCCCTGCCTCCATGTGTCTACTCTTTCGGCCGGCATGATCTCGGAACTGACACTGTTCTGGTCCTTTCCAAAGGGCGTCATTCTCTTGCTTACAACAATAGCTCGGTACTTCATAGGGACTTTCAAAGAAAAATCCAACCACCCTCACCCAGGGCCCCCAGGCCCTGGCCCTCAGTGGCCTCTACAGACTTCTCACTGCTAAGGATTCAAAGCATTCCTATCAGGCTGAGACAGCCTCTGCTCTTTCCTGCTCCGTTCTCTTTTTTGTTGGGCAAACTCATAACTCATCTTAAGATTTCCTTTAGATGGCATTTCCCCAAACAAGGCTCTTGAAGCTCCTCAGATTAGGTTTCCTGACACAGCTCTTTATGAAAAACTCTTGGGACCTGTGGCCTTGTCTGACAAATCCTTGGGGGAGGGGTGTTTCCCTGTCACCTACCAAAGGGCAAAATGTGTTAGATACTAAAAAGTACTTGTTAACATAAAAGGCAGAAAAAAATAGTAGATGGCGGTCAGTCATAAAATCCTAAGATTTAGGCAAGAATTCAAGAAAAGGAAATGGAAACAATGGGGGCACCATGACAGGAACGCTACATGGGATGTGAACAAACCGAATTCTGTGAACAAGTCAGTCCAGTTCGGTATATATGATTAGACATATATGCCAAATTTAAAATTTAAATTTATTTTATATAAAGTTAGAAGGCACATCTATACAGCTTAGTAGTTTCCAAACCCTAAATGATCATCAGAATCATCCAGGGAGAGGCTAGAAAAATAGCACGGTAAAGTGCCTAGAGGACAGTGAAGACCCGAGTTCAGATCCCCAGCAAGCACGCAAAAAGCAGGCACAGGGACTGAGGTGGCTCGGTGAGTAGAAGTGCTTGCTGTGCATGAGGATCTGAGTTCAAATCTACAGCGCCTCGTGCAAAAGGCCAGATGTTGTGTGAGCACCTGGAACCCCACTGCAGGGAAGGTGGAAGGATGGAAGGGTGACCCCTGGGGCTTTCTGGACACTAACTGAACCCCAGGTTTGGTGACATATCCTGTTTCAAGGGGTAAGATGGAGAGTGGTAGGCACGACACTACATGTAGTTAGTCCTCTGGCTTCCAAGTAAGCACACACATGTGCACACACCTGACCATACACAACACACAAACACAAGCAAACCAGGCACAGCCAACTGCCTGCAACCCTAGTGCAAAGGAGGCAGAAAGAGGAGGAGGATCACTGGGGCTATGGCATCTGTCTGAAATGGTGAGCTCCAGGTTCACTGAGAGACCATCTTTAAGAATGCAGTATAAAGTGATGACAAGACACCTGACATTGACCTCCAGCCTCTACATACATGTGCACACATATATGAACACGGAACACACATACCACATGCACACACAAAGAATCCCAAGAAATCATGTTTTCCCCCTTTTAGCATATTTTAATGTCCACTCGGTCATTCTGTCATCACATGTTGAGAAATTATTTACCCAGATAACCTGTCTAACCATGTCTACCAGTACTGTTTTGATTTAACCAAGAAGTCTATACACAAGTAGCTGAAAGAGCTTAGTAAGTACCCCAGTGGGGGAGCCGAAGGGGTATCTTACATTACTTGGGTTCATAGGCTGCTTGACCTGGAGTCACAGTTTGCATATAACCGGCAGCCAGATGGTATTTGTTTAATGAGTGAATCAGGGGAGCGGGATGAGGAAGCACACTTTGTGATACAGACAGATTTCATGTTCACGTTGGATACATGAGTTCCCCAATCAACATTTACAGTTCTTTGTCCAGGGACCATCTCAACAGAGACTTCTTCCCTGCTGCCGTAAGTGGGCATCTGTCCTTGGCACTGCAGCTTGGGCTATTATAGGGACTGTCTCCTCTCTGAGGAATAGCAAGAACAGCATTCCTCTCCCCACTGGGTAGCCTCCTGGGTTGTAAGTCAGGCCCTCCCTACACTAAGACCAAAGGAGACTCTCTCCCGGACTTGGAAAGTCTTGAGTCCAGCGTCCTAGGAGCAGAGAAATCCATGGGCGCATCCGTTCTTACAGTGACGTTACCTTCCTGCTTCTTAGAGCCCCTGCCCTTTCCTTCATTCTCAGCCCTTCTCATCAATTCTGTCAACTGCTCAGTAGTCTATAAATCTTTAGTTTGTCTCTAGTAAGTCCCTTCACTACCTGGTACTCACAAAACTGTGAACAAGGTTCCCAGAAAAACTGCATCTTGAAACTGCACATTCTACAAAGGGTGATCAACTGAACAGAACTTCAATGATTGTGGAGAGTTTGAGTGTTGCAGGTCCAGAGCCTAATTCCCATTTATCTTGGGCTGTTTTTAGCCCCCTAAATCACTGTTCTTTGCCCACCTTTGTTTCTGACTTAAAATCCCATGACTAACAGATAAAAAATCTTTGGGAACATATTAACTTAGCAGACCATCAGCTCCGACCAACCAAAAGGCCGAGTGTCATCACACCACATCTGAGGCCTAGAGCTGAGATTTCTCTTTTGCCACATCCGCCTACTCAATGTTTTCACCAATATATTTAAAAAATGTCTCTATTCATGACTTTTCATTGTTCTGTTACTGTAAAAACTTCATGAAACCGTTACCAGGTTGGAACATGGAATTTGGGGTAACCTGAATCTGTGTTCCTGGGCCACGGTCACTCATATTTGGCTCCAGAATAAACCATCTATTATCCCCTCTGAGGTGAGAGTTGTGCTTTTGTGTCAACAAAACGAATGAAGAAAAGGTTAACACTTACCTGCTATGTCCACGGACTACCTTCCCAGAGGGGCCTCCTCTCCTGGCCGTCTTCTACTCCAGCTTCTGACTGGGAAGCCATGTGGTCCCACAGTTCTTTAATCAACGCTGCAGAAATGAAAGGGGGGGACGGTAAGAGTACATTAAAAAAAAACTGAATAGTTGGACTCAATGGTTAAGAGCACTGGCTGCTCTTGCAAAGGACCTGGGTTCGATTCCCAGCACCCACATGGTGCTAACAACTGTCCATAACTCCAGTTCCAGAGGATCTGACTCTTTCTTCTGACATTCCAGGGCTCAAAAGTACTCACTACTTTTCCAGAGAACCTGGGTCTTCTGGCCTCCTTGGGTTTGCACACACATGGCACACCAATAAATATGAAGCCAAAACATTCCTAAATATAAAATAAAAACAAATATATTATTTTAATACATAACCAACATAATCAATACGAAAAAGCTGATAACATTTTACTTCACTTTTGCAGACTAAGTCTCTGAAATGTGATATTTTACATGTATTTCTGTTCCTTGAACACACATGACACTCGACACTTTTGACACTTCAGCACTTTGCTGAACTGTCAGAGGTTAAAATGAAATGCAGTACTTCCAAAACAATAAAGCTGTGAATAAAGATAAATATTTTTAAAGTCTAACTTGGCTAAAAGTAAATATTCAATCCCTGTCTCACCGGCTGCTTTTTAAGTGCTCTGTCCGTAACTGCACGTCATCAGCCCCCGCCACAGCACAGCAACAGAGTAAGGAGACTGGGATGAGGTTGCTGCCTCTCACATGCCAACACATTCTATCATGACACGATGCACAGCTGTGTGACGACCTACTCAAAATATTTCTTTGCCCCCAAACAATGTTTTCTTGGCTGTATAACCCCAGGTTAACAGGATACTGAGTGCATCACCTATCCTGTGTTCTAAAATTCAGTAGCATAAAAAGATCAAGGCGTTCTCTTCCCTGTCAGAGTTTAATTCAGAGCTACAATTACACTATTACTCTTAAATCACTTATTTATTGCATGGGGAGAGCTGAGAACTTTGGGGGTTCATTTTAAGTCTTTGCATTATCAAATAACAGGATTTTTGGTGACAGGTTAAAAATGTTGACCTTTACAACCTCATACAACAGCAGCTGTTCTAAGGTTTGGAGTGAACAAGTTGACACAGTGGCATCAGTGTCAGAGGCAAACGAATCACAATCAGCGTGCAAGTGGACAGGTCAGGACAGGGACCCCGTGGGAAGCCACCCCGGCTCTGCACAGTAGTATTTCTACCAACGTAGCCATTTCCCCCTCCTTAAGCTAAAAAGACTCCTTCGAGAGTAAATTCGGGAACCCATAGTGTCCTGGATGTAGATGGCAGGCCAAGTCCTTCACCTCCATCCTTCTTTCAAAATCCAACACAGGAGTCAAATTCAGAGTCAGAAGGCAGAGCTGTGGGTATACCAAGTTCCTGTTTACTCAGAACAGCTCAGCTCTGTGAGGCGGAGGGGTTAGTGGGTGGCAGGCAACCACGGTGCCCAACCATGGAGGCCTGTCCTTGGATCACGTGTTCAGCGCACCCCTGCACTTTGCCAGGCCTGAGTGCTGGGTACCCTTGCCACAGCAGGTCCCTGGACAGCTGTAACCCCTGGTAACCACCCAATCTGGTTTCTGTGACCATCAGAACAAGACTGCAGAGTGCTGAATGACACACTTTCATCCATACCACGGCAGTGGAGTCGGCTTCGGATGCCCACCCCCACCCCACCCCCCGCGTTGACTCGTGAGCAGTGGGGAGCTGTTGGCCACCAAGACGGGCCTGTTCGTGCTCATTTTCGAGGTTAAATAAGTGCCCTGAGGCTTGCTGAAAAGAGCCCGACGAGGCATAAACTTGCAGTCAGACCACCTAGAACCCCAGTGTCCTGGGTGCAGGTTGGGGTGGAAGTGAATTGCCCACCAGCTTTTAAAACTGACTTTTGAATTTGAAATTGAACCAGTTTGAGCCAAGCAAAGTGGCATCTTGGCACACGTTTTGAAACCCCAGCACTTGGGAGGTGGAGGCCGGAAGGTCAGAATTTCAGGGCTCCTAGTGAGTTTGCAGTCTGGGATTCATGAGACCCTGTCTCGGCCAGTCCCTGCCTCCTGTCAACATGTAGATGGCTTTGACTTAAACCCATCGCTAAGCAGCAGCATTGTAGAATGTGTTTAACACAGCTAGCCTTAGGAGCACAGTGCACTGCAGAGTGTCAGCTGATCACCCCTAAGGTGGTCTGGCTGACCCGAGGCTGGGATTCACCACTGCTCCCCAGCATCACAAGAGTACTGCTTATGGCTGGCGAAGAACAG